GCGGGCTCTGTAGTGAGCTGAGCAGGAAGGACATGAGGACACAAAGCTAGCAGAGGAGCCCACAGCAAACGCCGCCCGAGAGCATATGCATCGGACTTTGTGGCTTCCTCCTGTTTCCAGCGCACATTTGCTCCATATGCTGCTTTACGCAGCTTTCTGGGGCCATAATGGGTTTTATTCCATAGTTTTTATATGAACATGAATGACTCACATCTGCTCCAGTACCCAATTTGCTCCCTAATGTCTTCAGCAGTGAAGACAGAACACAGCTTATACTGAGCTTGCCAATGTCAGGAGTGACAAAAAAAATGTGTTTTAATCCAGGGACAAGGAAGGTTAGAACCCTGCTTGGTGAGCTGGGAGGGACTTTGTGGGAACTGGAGAGTGTCAGGTGGGGAAACTGAGGCCCAGAGAAACAAGGAGCTTGTCCCAAGACCGTGGAGGCAGATCCATTTCTGGTCACCAGCATGGCCCTAGTTCAGGGTACACTAATTTTCTTCGTTTCCTGCCACGTTGAATCTTTTGCTAGGGGCTTTTCTTCCCTGTAGAGGCTGTGATGAGAAAAAATCAACTTGGATTAATGGCCAGTGAGGGCTAATCCCTCCCTGAGGTCAGCTGTGCTGTGCTGTGTAAGCTGGTTATGAAAGTGTTCAGTGTCCTTCTGGGCCTGGTGTGGGTACTCTGGACACACTGGGTCCCCGGAGAGACTGACACAGCTGGGCTCTGCGTGGAGACTCATCTGGCTTCCAGATGTTTGCATTCCTACCTGGAACTGATTTCAGTGTTCATGACATTTCCCGTTTGGCAACCCAAACTAACACAACCTGTGCCTGGGTCAGGCCATGACACTTGGCACTCCTGGAGACCCCGGACAGCATCCATAGACCCAGCAGCGCCTCTTCCCCCACTGAGTGAGGGACAGACCAATGATTCATGACACAAACACCTGGGAAGAAGTCCCCAGGCCCTGCCTAGAGCGGCTTCACCCCAGGGCCTTGGTTTGCCCATAGGCCCGGCAGTCAGAACAAGGCACCTCAGCAGCAGGCAGTGTGGTGCTGCACCATCCCGGAGGCTTGGCGGTAGTGTTGTGTAACTGTCTGCCATCTGTTCTTCAGTAGCAGAGTCACAAAGCGCTGAGCAGTGGACTCTGGTGCTGCAGCTCCTGCCTGGAGCCGACAGCAGCTCGGCAGCTTGCCTGGGGGTCCCCTGCAGAGTCTGCCGCAGATACTTTGCAGGTCCAAGGTGAGGCTCCGGGGAGCTGTGGAGGCTGCAGTGGTGGGTCCTCTTGCTGCTTGCCTGCCCCCCTCCCATGATCCTGAGCTCCCTGAACCTTTGCCTGCCCAAACCTGTGGCTGGGGAGCTTGCCCTGAGCCTTCAGTAAATAGGGTTTTAAGAAAGGCAAAGGTTGGACCCTCCCCGGGGTGCTGTGTGATCAGAGAGCTGTCTTGAGTTAGGCTGGCAAGAGTGCTCAGCTTTTCCAGGTTGTTTGATTCTGCTTCTGTTCCCAAGCAAGAACTCCTTATCCCTAGCCTGGTCAGGGACTCTGAAGGGAAGGGCACGTAGCCTAGGGGTTGACTCTGGTTAAGATGCCTGCCTCCAATATCACTGCGCTTGGGTTCAGTACCCACCTCCCATTTCCTGATAGTGCAGATCCTGCAACGTGGCAGTAATGGCTCAAGTGATTGGCTCCCTGCCACCCATGTGGGAGACCAGGATTGCATTGCTGGCCCCTGACTTTGGCCTGGGCCCTGCCCTAGCCATTGCTGGCATTTGGGGGAGTGAACGAGTGAATGGGAGTTTGCTGTCTCCCTCTCAAATAAGTAGATTGAAAACATTAAGAATGCTTTGGGGTTGTGAAGCCAGACTGCCTGTGGCTGGAAGGCTTCTGAGTACCTGGGGGCCAGGTAGGGGGTGGGGGTGGGGCTCCATCTTATTGGGGAAGGACCTCTGGAGCCGCAATTTAAACCTGTGTCCCCTATAATTGAGCTCTGTAAGCAGAGGCACTGAGGACAGTGGCTACAGGAGGGGCTGCATCCCTCTCAGCCACCCAAGACTGAGAGTCAAAACGTTCCCCTAACTAAAGGACACAGCCCCAGTGGCCACAGCCCCCTAGACGGAGCCATAGTACTACGTTCTCTCGCCCCTCCCCCCAGTCCCTTTGAGTGCTCAGATGACATCAGCACTTTGCATTCAAGTTTCACAACATCTGCTCACTAGTCAGAGGCAGGGTTATCAGAAGAGGCATCTAAGGCTTAGGGAAGGCGAACCACTCACCCAAGATGCATAGAGCCAGAGTGGCAGGGCTGTGTTAGGAGGCTCTAGTCCAGGGAAAGTGCCAGTATGCCAGCCTTGCTTAGCCCCTATGGCAATTGGATTCCAGTCGGTGCTGCCTTGAGCCCCGGGTGTTTTTCATCAGCAAGTGAGAGGAGGGTGCAGTTCCCAGAGGCATTTGGAGAAAGGGGCCTTTGGAGACCAGCCCTCTGTACCGGGTCCCCCCTCTGCCCAGGGTCGCTCTCCAAGAGCCCTCTGTGGCTGGCTCACCTTTGGACCTCCTTTCCGGGAAGTACAGTGTTCTGATGCTTCCAGGGAGAGGGGTCCCCTTAAGGGAGATGACGGCGCCTTAATTTCTTAAAGGACAGCTCTAAAGTTAAATGTAGACCAACTCAGCCACCCATTAAGCAGAAAAAGTTGCCAGGCACCTGCAGGCAGACAGAAAAACGCCCTGGAGAGTTGGCTGGAACCTGACTCAGGCAGCAGCCCTGCCAGCGCCCCACCGTCCCAGCCTGGCTCCGGGAAGAGGACGGGAGCCGGGTGTGCGCCCCACGTGCAGCCCCCACCCCGCTATGGGTGAGAAAAGTGCCCCCAGGAAGAGCCGCGCCCGCCTGAGTGCCGGCGGGTTGCAGGGGGTAAGCGGCCAACCCAGGTGCGCTGTGCCCTGCTCGCCCCAACACGGGACGGCCTGGGAGCTGCGCTCCGGGCTCGGCGCCGCGGTCGGCGGGCGGCAGTAGCGCCCCCTCGCAGAGCCCGGCTCGCCGCCGCCCGGCTCCCTCCGAGTCGGTGTGTCTGTCGGGCCCGCCCTCCCCCTCGCTCCCTCCTCCCTCGTGCAGCTCCCGGGGTGCCGGGCACAGCCTCGGATCCCGCCCTCCCCGCTGCTCGAGTCCGTTTCCCTCTCGGCGGCGGCTGCGTGCGGAGCATCTCGGCGGCCGCCGGGCTCCTCCAGCTGGCTGGAGAGGGTGCCCGGCTCGGCTGGCCCCCGGCCCTCTCCTGCCGCGTCTCGGGGCCGCCCCGAGCCCCCAGCACCGGCTCGCCTTTCTCCGAAGAGGGCGGGGGAGGGCGCCTTGCGGGATCCCGCCGCTCTCCGCCAGTTGCGGTCGCCAGCGCTCCCCCAGCGCGGGGCGCTCTGCCGGACTCCTGCCCCGCCGCCCCTGACCGCCTGGGGGTGCCCCAGGGACGTAGCGCGGCGGAGAGGAGCCGGCGAAGGGGACCATGCGGCGCCTGACTCGCCGCCTGGCGCTGCCGATCTTCGGGGTGTTCTGGATCACCGTGCTGCTGTTCTGGGTCACCCAGAGGAAGTTGGAGGCACCTCCGGGAACTGAAGTGCAGACCCCCAAGGTACGCGGTTTGGCTACGCGCCGGGCGCGGGGCAGTGGCTTAGCGGGCAGGGCGTGCAGCGTGCGCGCCAGGAGTGCGGGCTTCCAGGACACCAGGGCGGGGGTCCGGGTGCTGCGAGCAGGTAGCAGGCGCGGAGGCGGCGTGCCTGGGCTGTAGGAAGCTCGGGGGCGTCTGCGGGCCCGCCGCGAGCCCGAGCCGGAGTGGCCGTTGGGGTGGGCGGTGGGTGCGGGCGGAGCGGGGCTCCCAACTTGAGCGGCGCGCTGCGGGTCCCGGGGCGGAAGGGGCGCTGTTGGCGAGCCTCCCGGGGGCTGGCGGTGCGCGGACGCCGCCAGAGAGTCGCCGGCGGTTGGGGCGGGTGGCCCGGCGGGCCGGTGCAGATGCCCGCGCGCGCGAGAGCGAAGTCTGGCGGCCGTGACCTCCTTCCCGCAGCTGCCAGGCCGGACCAGGGCAGGCCGGAGCTCCAGGGGCGGGGTGTGGGGTGGGAGGTGCGCCGCGAGCGCCGTGAGTGGCGCCGGCGAGTGCCAAGTAGCCCCCAGCGCCTCGGCCCAGGGGGTCTGTAGCCGACCTCTCAAGCTGCACTGGAAGTTGAATGTTCCCGGAACGCCAGTTAGGAGCCCCTCCAGAGAGACGCCTGGGCCCTGGTGGGTAGTTGGGGAACTGGGAATCCAAGTGGCTTTTTGGAGTCCTGCCCCCTGGTTCATCTGCTGCAACCAGAAACTGCCCCCTTCAGGTCACCCTTGCTTTCTCACTCAGAGCCCCGCTCCTCTGCCCCCTCCTGGAACAGACTTTGTGGGGGGGGGGGGGAGGCACAGAAGGAGGCCTGGTGGTGGGGGAGAGGGTGTTATTTGCTGGCCCGTTGGACAATGGATAGTGTTCCAGAGAGGTTCTGGAGGGGCTGGGACAAGGCCCTGGAGGGGCCCACGACAAACACGTGGGTACATGCGCACCCGTGTGTGTGTGTGTGTGTGTGTGTGGTCGCCAGTCAGTGCAGCACAGAGGGCCCGCCACATGCCAGCACCCAGTAGGTGCTTTCTTCCTCATGGCCACATGAGTTCCTTAGTTCCTGTGTCCAGACTAGGACACAGGTCACTCAGACCTCTGCACTTGGGATCTGTCCACCGCATCAAGTCGTCTCTCAAGATCCTCTTCTCTGTCCTCTGGCACTTGTGTTTTGGAATATCACCAAGGTTCAGTTGATTGCAACCAGCACTTATTTAGCACCTTCTGTGTACCAGGTGCTATGGTGCCAGGGATGCAGAGCTTGCTGTCTTGGGGGGAAGAGGATTTGCTCATCTGTGGACCAAGATGGTTCAGTGCCCTGGGTGTGGTGGGAGCTGGGGTGCTTCGTGGGGAGTAGGGGGAGGAGGAGGTAGCAGAACTGAGATGAGTAGGAACAGGTTTGTTGGGTCAGGGGGCCTCCCGGGTAGAGGTTAGCTGTGGGCTCAGAGGAATGACACAGCACGTTGTGTGAGTTTGGCACAGTCGGAGCACACAGCATGGGCAGGCTGCAGGGATGGGGCTGGGAGGTGTGTGCAGGTCAAGCCAGGTGGCATTGAGCAGGGAGGGGGTGAGGTCAGGCTCTACAGCACCTGATCAGTGCCCCAATCACCGCATCCTGGCCCACAGACGGGGAGAGCGTTTCCCTTCCCCTGGGTGGTTCTGCTCCTTGTGAAGCAGTTAATGGTGCTGCAGGGACATGAACTTTCTCTGTTTTGCGTTGAACTTCATTGCCTTAAGCTCACTTATTCTCGCTCTACACCTGGGATCTGGACAGGAGAGCCGTTCCTTCCTGCTGCTTCTGTCCCTGCAGCTCATCCCTCTGGGCATGGGCAGCTGTGCGCCAGGCTCCGTGTGAGGTCTGAGTGTGGTGGCCGTGCCTTTGGCTGGAGCAGGGGGCACAGGGGCGGGACTGTGAGCACGTGAGTGATTCTGGAGGCTGGGGCGGTGGTCTCATGTCAGGGGCCTGGAGCCAGGGCGGGCCACTTGCTCTGTCGTCACACTTAGTCATTTCGATTTCCTTTTCCCGACTCCTTCCATAACCACGAAGTCCATGGACTTGAAGCTCTTAATGCCTCTCGTGTTGAGGTGCCCTTGTTTTTGTTGGCGTTTCCTCCTTCGTGTCTGTCACCCGTATCTGCCTACTGGTATTGCGTGTCTTGGTGACTGCGTTTGTGTACGGTAGCTGAATGCTCCTCTGTGCCTTAGTGTGTGTGTATCTGAGGAGAGAGGTGGAGGGATTCCTTCTTAGCACCAGAATAGTGTTGTTCCCCGGGACTGAGGAGTGTAGGATATTTGCAGGGCATGTCCGAAGGATCACAGTGGTTCGCAAACCTGACTGCCTGTGGCCGGCACTTGGACGGCTCGCAGAACCTCCATCGTGGCTTCATTGCAGGGGTTGCAATTCTGTGGGCATCTCCAAAGCGGGCCTGATCCAATGGAACCCATGCCTGCTGGGTTGCAATCCAGGTGTGAGAGGGAAGGCCTTTGCATTCCAGGTCTTGCAAATTCCACCGGATTTTTCCCCCCTTAGTTTCAAGAAGGGTTGATTCTATTAATAGATCAAGTAAAGATTTCTTTAAATTTGACTTTTTAGTATTGATTTGGTTCTTTCCCCCCTCCCCACAAATTATTCCGCAAAACTGTAGTTTCTAATTGAAAATCATGTTACGCATTTGATGTTCTAATTCAAACTGTGTTTTAATGATAAACACTACTAAAAAAGGCCTTGAAAAAAATGTTGCTTCCTTTCTCCCCAATCAGTTGTTTATCATTGGCAGAATTATACAATTAGTTATAGATTTTTTTAAAAGCAACAGCATATTTGTCTTATTTCCAAGAAATCAAATTTAATCCAGGGGCTCAGAGCTTAGTAAAAGCAAAAGAAATTTAGGCCTGAGGGTAATTTTGGGGGAAAGGATTGGAAATGGAAAGGCTTTGAATAAAGTGCCTCAGGCCCATATAAATGTGCCAGTATTGTACCAGGAATATAGCAAACACGATTAGTAAATAACTTGTCTTTCTGTAAGATTTGCATACCACCAAAGTATATAACACTGCTATTTTGTTCCCCGTTTAGTAGATAATTTCTCCCATTTAAAATAGTCAGGAATTTTCGAGAGCGACCCTTAATCTACTGATGCTCGGTGTGTGCATACTGGGCTCCCTCCATCCGGGGACTTTTGATCCTGGCACAACCCATATGGGCAGCCCATTACCAGATGTATGCCCATCCTTCCAGATGCTGGCCGGTGCCAGGTGCTGTGCTGGTTTTCACTCTAAGGCTGTTCCATGGAGCAGACATTGTGGGTGGTGGTACCTGGGGGCCCAGAGTGTTGCTTTGCTCCTGCAGCAGTTCCTGGGAGGGGCAGAGACGTATGGAAGCTGCAGGTGGAAATCTCAGATCTTCAAGAAATCGCATGTCTTCGCTTTCTAGGTATCAGCAAAATTTTTGTTTGTTTTTTAGATTTTCTTATTTGAAAGGAAGAGTTATGGGGTGAGAGGTTGGGGGAGATATCTTCCATATCTTTCATCCACTTGTTCACTCCTTAAATGGCTGCAATGGCTGGAGCTGGGCCAAGCTGAAGCCAGGAGCCAGGAGCTTCTTCTAGGTCTCCCACATGGGTGCAGGGGCCCAAGCTCTTGGGTAATCTTCCACTGCTTTCCCAGGCACATTAATAGAGAGCTGGATCAGAAGTGGAGTAACTGGGACATGAACTCTCACCCATATGGGATGCCGGCACTGCAGGCCACAGCTTAACCCATTGTGCCTTAGCACCGACCCCTCAACAAAGTTTTTAAAATTTCAATCCTGAGCTTCTACCCCAGCAGGCTGGTAGGAAATTCATCCTGGGTCATTTTTGGCCCACCCTGGCTTGGCTGGAGGCCCAAGGACTTACACAGAATCTGGACTGTGGTGCTCAATACCCAGTAGATGACGGGACTGCCCACGGCCCAGCTCACGAGTGCTGCCCTAGCAGGTGCAGCTGGGGTCTCAGTTCTGGGGGATTCTCCTGGAGTCAGCCCTTTCTCCTTCCTTCTTATTCCTGTACATGGCCTGGGGTTTTCGGAAACAAATCTTAGAAACCGCTGCTCAAATCCAGGAACCTGGCCCTTTCCAGGGCTGTTCGTCTGTTGGTAGTGTTAACAGTGCCAACTTCCACTCATCAAAGGTCATTCGGGGCAGAAGCAGCCGCCGGTGTCTGATGCCGGAGCAAGGAGTTCTTCCCAGCCCAATGTTCCTGGCTTTGATTCTCCTCCTTGGCCTGCACCCCACATCCACATCGCCCCCTCCCTCAATTTCCCAAGGGGTCTGCTCAGGCTCCCAGAGCCAGTTTTGAAGGCGCGTGCCCTTGTTTGATTGCTGGTGTTCATGGTTTTGTGGCCTTTCCGGAGCATCTCAGCATCCTTGGCACATTTTTGGAGAATAATCTGCATTAGAAAGCCGGGATGCAGCCCCAGCGCCTCTCTCACTGGGGAACCTGAACCCTGCGGTGGCTTTTGTACACCCAGCCCCTAGAGCCTGAGTGACAGTGCCGCCATCTGTGTGGAGCAGTGGGTCTGGCCGTGCCCCGTGCCCTCCGCAGCTGGCTGTGGGCTCTTCCCACTGGCTGGAGTTGCCCCAAGCTGGGTGGCAAGCATCCTTCTCGCGTGGCCCGCAGGGATGCTCGCTGTGCCTGGAGTCAGGTCACAGAGTCGGGTCCTCTGCCTGGAGCTCCCAGGCATGTTTTCCTGGAGCATTTCTTACAAACACTGCAGCCGGGGGATGCCTTTCTGTCTGGAGCTGACTGGGACCCCTCTTCTCCTGCCACAGCCTTCTGTGCAATGGGAACTGCAGGGCCCGTCTCCCACCTGCCAGCCTGCAGCCTCAGCTGTTCCGGGTTGGCTTAGAGCATCTCCGAGGAAGACGGTATGGCTCTCGGTAATTCTGCCTCCATTACCCTGTGTCTGTTACTTATCTCTTCATTATTCTACTAGAAACGCTAGATTAACTGAAAAATAAGTGAGTCTCCGAGGCCTGAAATGGGAAGTAAGAAAGGAAATACACACTTGCAGGAGCACACCCTTGCACACGTGCACTCACAAACCCACATGTGCACCCCTGCACGCATTTGCATTTGCACACGTACACATTCGCACAGGCACACACTCACGCTCTGGTACCCTGGGGGAGTTCTGCAGGAGCTCTGGGAGTTTGCAGGCTTGGATAATTTGGTATTTCAAGGACAAGGACCTGATCTGACTCTCGGGGCAGCTGCTGCCCTTACAGGAGTACCAAGCACTGGGAGACTGCTGGGGGACAGGGAGGAAGAGGTCTCTGTGGGGTGAGACAGTCTGCACTCTCTGGGGAGTCCTCGCCTGCTGTTCTGTCTGCCTTCTCCCTTCTCCCCATTCTTCCTTCTCCCTCTTTTATTCAAGCCTCTTGGAAAGCTAATGTATTAATGAGCAAAGAGCTGCAGGGTCCCGGGTCAGGAGCCCTAGGGAGAAGTCTGGGGGCCAGCAGCAGCCAGTGGCCTGTCCTCTGCTCTGCAGGAGCCCAGCAGGTCCCTGCAGGCTCCAAGGTCAGGAGCAACCTGCCTCGCTGGTTGCTGGAGATGCAGGATGATGGTCTGGACACAAAGGCAGTTCTTTGTCAAGGCAGAAAATTGCTGTCCGGGCACTCTGAGCGTGTTGCTTGGGCACTTTTTATCAGCATGAGCCCCCAAGGCATGGAGTAAGGGGCCTCGTGCACAAGGTTGACAGCAAGCACAGGGCCTCTCCTGCATGCCATTTCCTGGAGACAAGATTAGGCACTTAAAAAAAACAATTAAATTCTCCACCATAAGTGCTACAGAGATCTTTCACAGCAAGTGCAGGCCAACAGGACACACTCACATTTTCCCGCCATGGGAATGGGATATGCCCTGATGAAGAGACCATGAACCCAGCTGCCTTCTTCCTAAGGATCCTGCTGCTGAAATCCAATTTGTATCTCATTCCGGGACCCACGAGAACAGGAAGCCTCCGGAGAGCTGGTGTGACCACTTCACGTTGACAAGCTCTTTGCAAAGGGGCTGCCTGTCCCTTGTCCCTGTCCTCATGAAGGTTTCAAAGTTAGGATTTTCTTCTCCAGCATTCTGGGCTGAAGATTTATGCAGCCTTTCTTATTCCTCTGAGAGCACTCGAATCATTCATGTCCCTCCCTCACCCCCCCAGCCATATAGACTGGTGCAATCAATATTTATGCACCCATCACTCACGGCTGCAACACTCAAGCCTACGGATGCCAAATTCCTTGATGGCTACTGAAAAATTAGCTGGTTCTGTATTTCAGGCCCACTTTTTTTAGGTGGGGGGAGCATCTTGGGGAGATCAGAGCATGTGGTGCAATGGATTAATTAAGCCACCCAGATAATTGGCTATTAATAGATGGCCCATTGACAGCTGCCAGCTGGGTGCTGAGTTGACTGAGGTCCGTATGGTGGCAGGCAGTCTTCATCTGAGGGGGCACTGCTGGAAGGCTCCCCTCATTAGAAGGCAAATCAGGACCAGGAGGACAAGGAGCGGCTTCTTTCCCTCTACCACTTGGTGTAGCGTTTACAGCTTACAAAGCGTCTATTCACAAATGCCATATTTGACCCGTATTGCAAGCATGAGGTGGATGTTATTTCTTCCTTTACTGAAGTACAATGGATGGAGGTTTAAAGGGGAGGATACTTTGGCAAGGTCACTGAACCAACCAGTGGGCTGGAGCTCAATCTTTGTGAAGCACCTGCTGTTTCTAGCACGGCCATGCTCCACTTCTGGTTAGATTCTTCGGCCTGGGGAACATTAAATACACAGGTGTATGTCATATGTGTGCTTTCTTGTGGACAGAAGTTAGTGCTCTTGTCGAGGGATGTGGCCCTGCCTGTGATTAAACACCAGCATTGCTTTCCCACCCGTGCAAGGGAGCTGAGGGAGGGAAGTGCAGAGCCTCCCTTAGGAGCAGGGGAGGGCAAGGAGGACTTCGGACTGTCCTCCAGGAGAGCTAGGGTCGGCCCACCTTCAGCCCTTTCTGTGTGGGAAGATGCCAGGGCTGATGTCATAGACTTGGTGGCCTGAGAAGTGGAGAGAGGCCCCTCCGTGTCATTCCCCTCCGAGTCCCCACGTGGAGTACGGGGTCTGTTCTGATGCCGCAAGTCCTCATTCCCCAGCTGCCTCCCTCATGGGCCAGCGCTATCATTCGTGGGGCTGCTCCAAGTCCGAGGTCCCAAGGATTGTGGAAGTTAGACAGAAACCATGTTGTGATGAGGGCGGTTCTTCCATAATGAGAAGTCATTCCCTCTTGAGAGGAAAAACATTGTTTTTAAAGAACCAAACACAGAGCAGGTGCAGGAGGCAGGGCTTCAAGGAAGTGGCTTTACGAGATGCCCAGCATCTCATTAGATCCTCCTACTGTCATTAATGCAAAGGGCACCCTGCTTCTGTGTCTCTTGCTGTTAGCCTGGAAGGCCCTGGGATGGCTGCTTGATCTTACCTGGGAGCTGGTTCTGCCCACACGGAGGCTGGTTTAGGGGTTGGTGTGTGATATGGTTGTCTCCCAGATATGCTCATACTTAGGAAAGCATGAAGTTGGGTGGCTGCCAATGTCTTTCCAGGTATTGTGTCTGCAGTTTGGGTAAGCCACCCAAGGGTGCCTGGCGATGCTGTTGTTGCGTGGTCTCAATGATAAAGTTGGTGCCGTACGCCAGGGTCCTGAGCAGGAGCATGGCTTTTTTGTTCTTGTCTGTTTCTTCTGAACATGACAGCCTTGAAGGGTGCTGCATTCGAAGACTGTGTGTGGTGGTAAGGATGTGGATAAATGTAAACTAAGGGAGCTCACAGGCGCCCGCTCTACCTGGAGGTCCTGATGGTTTACTTGTTATTTGCTCAGTTCTGGGTCTGATGCACTCTCTGTAGGTTTATCTGCCTCTCTTAAACCTGAGATTATGAGTTCTGCTCCAGATTGTAGCTTTCCCCTTAAAACAGAGTATTTTTCTGGAAAACGTCTTGGCAGTGTTTACTGAAGCTGAATAGATGTGTGTTCCCGTGACCCTGCGGCATCCCAGCTAGACACAGACCCAACAGAAACACGTGTGTATTTCAGTAAACATCTCGTACTTCACTGGAGTTGGCAAGCTTTTTATTTTTATTCTTTTGGTAAATGGTCAGGTAACAAATACTTTCATTGTTTTAGGTTGTGTGGCCTCTGCTGTAGCCAGACTGTGCAGGTGAAGTGTGAAAAACAATATGCAAACCAGCATCTGGGGCTGTGTTCCCATAAAACTTTATCTAGGGCCACCACACCATAAATTTCATATATTTTACACATCCCATGGAGTAGTCTTCTTCTTCTGGAATTCTTTTTCTTTTTTCTTTCTTCTTCTTCTTCTTCTTTTTTTTTTTTTTTTTTTTGACAGGCAGAATGGACAGTGAGAGAGAGAGACAGAGAGAAAGGTCTTCCTTTGCCGTTGGTTCACCCTCCAATGGCCACTGCGGCCGGCGCACCACGCTGATCCGAAGCCAGGAGCCAGGTGTTTCTCCTGGTCTCCCATGCGAGTGCAGGGCCCAAGGACTTGGGCCATCCTCCACTGCACTCCACAGCAGAGAGCTGGACAGGAAGAGGAGTGACTGGGACAGAATCCAGCACCCCGACCGGGACTAGAACCCGGTGTGCCGGTGTCGCAGGCAGAGGATTAGCCTATTGAGCTGCGGAGCCGGCCCTGGAATTATTTTTCTCAAGTATTTAGAAATGTAAGATCCACTCAGGTTTTTCAGGGTGTGCTAAGGCAGGTGACAGGTCACATTTGGCCAGAGGGCTGAGAAATCTCATCCATACAAAGTCTGAGAACAGAGAGAGCTAACCCGCGGTGCTACAACTCCTAGCTCTGTGGTCACTCGTGGTGGGGGCTAGTGACTGGCAGGTTGCAAGGGGAGCTGGTGCTCATTACGCAGGTGTATTTACCCTGTGAAGTGCCCTGGGTATGTCTTTTTCTCTTGGCATATTCCACGTCAATAAAAAGTTCAGGCAGAAAAATCTGAACCCAGTGTGCGGCAGGAGTGTGAGTTGATCTTTTAGCACCTCATTGAGGAGCTGAGCCTGCTCATCGCCATTCTCTTTATAGCCACTGGTTTCTGTTTCCTGAATAAGAGAGTCTTTGGAGAAAGGCCTCGGTCTGACTTTGCAATTTCCCAAATCTTACTCCCTTTTATAGCCAGGAGACATTTAACAAGCGGTGTGGTGCAGGCAGCAGCCAGCCAGCCAGCTATGTTGCTGGGCATTAGCCCTTTCGTTGGCAGATTGTAGGAAGACAGGGGCTCCCTGGGGAGAGTGCAAGAGGAGAGCATTTGGGAAAATGCAAGTGGGTCTTTGGCTGATGTAGTTGCTCGTCGGACATCCAGGCTGAAATCAATGTTTGTAGGTAAGAGGTAGAGGCCGAAGTACAGAGAATGGAATTCCGTGGCGTCAGCTACTGGCTCATACAAAACTAAGGGTCTTTTTGCATTCCAGAGAAGCAAGTCTGAGTCCCCAGTAGATGCCAGCTACTTTCTGTGCCCATCACCCCCTCTTCCTGACATCCCTGCGGGGCCTGCAGTGGTAGCTTTGTTTTTCAGGAGAGGATCACCAGGCTTGGGAAGTTAAGTGACTTCCCCGAGGGCGCTTGGCTCATGAGAGAGCAGAGGTATAGGTTCCAAATCACAGAGCACCCCCCTTCTCCCCACTTCACCATGCTCACCCCAAGCCTCCTCCCTCCACAGTCACATTGGCTCTGGTCTCTGAAAGTGAGAACTTGGAATGTGTTTTCCCCTTAGCAACCAGCTTCTGAGGCTCTGTTTGTTCTGTTTCCCAGAATTATATACATCTTGTTTAGATCAGAAACTGTTGAATGCAGTAGTTTTGTATCAGAG